TGAGCCACATTTTCATAATGTACTTCGCACATTACATATTTCAAAATTAATCCTCACAATTTGTTTTCTAAATCTGGGTCACATATTTGCTTCAAAAGGATTACTGAAACAGGTACAGTAATACTGGTACAGTATTTATTTATTTATTATAAATTTGGCATGCAATATAAACCAGATGCGTAAAAAACAAAAACTTAAGTGTGTGGCATTTCAGTATATCTTCAGAAAAAAAAACACTAGATAAATCATTTTAATTGAATTCTTTGGAAATATTTTGGATTCAATCACTTGCTGCAGAGCTCTGAGCATCGCCACCTTCTGCTAACCATGGATTGGGCATGTCCATTTCATCATGTCCACACAGATGGAATTGTTTGCATCACATCCATCTGATCCAGTATTGGCATTTGCTGCTTTATCAATAACATACCATACTGAGATACTGTATGTACTAATCTGAAAAGACATTCATCAATTGACAGTATTTTCGGATTTTTTAATTACTTGATTGAAGCCTTCCTGTCGGCTAGTGTGTAATGTATTATTGTTGTTTCGTAATAAAACTGACACACCATGCTGATATTTTTTTACCATTCCAATATATTTGTTTCATGTACTCTGGCTGAACAGTGATGAGATATTCACTTAATTTTCTTTTGCTCACCTTAAATTGTGTTGTAAGTTTCAGCAAACAACCAGAGTGTTTCTTGCTAACATCTTGCTGGGTGCTTGTATGCTTTGTACCACCTTCTTTCGTAGATGCCAATGTTGGGTGGTTGTACTCATGGCAAATGTTGTGGTATGTTTGTCTCATCATGGCGACTGGCCTGGCAAATACCTATGTGAGGAGAGTGTCATGTTTCGGCCTATCACATATCTTGTCCTACAAAAATATATATGTATAATATTTTATTTGAATTCCACATTTCAACAACAGCTGAAAGTTAGGTTTGGAGTAACATATGCATCATGTTATTATTTAATGGGGCGTTATTGTTGTATAGCCTAGCTTCTATGCCTACAGTATATCAATAATAATCTTATTGTTACAGGAATTGGTGTTGGCTCTGATGATATACTGTAGTGTTATAGCACATCACCTTTATTTAGACAGTGCATTTTTTTAGACATTTAGGCCTAGACAGTTTTTCATAGGACCAGGCCTATAGTATACTATTATTAGTAGGCCTAGGGGCCTAGGTCTATTATTATGGGGAAAAAATGCACTAGCACAATTAATGTGACAAAGATGGCATGGCATGACAAGTCTAGGCTAGGCTAGTAGTAGAAACCTACTATCTTTACCGTCAGCTGGATACGGCTGCGTACGAACTCACCTGCTGCGGGACTGGAGCAGTGTCCCGGACAGGAGTGCGCTACTGCTGCTGGGTAGACACTGGCTGTGCTAATCCTAGGCATAGGTGTAAGCCTAATTATAAACAAACAAGTCAAGTCATCGGACTGATATACGTTTCCTCCATGATTGAATTGACGTTGACTAAACCGTCTCTCTGTAACTGCGTACGTAAACGATCACAAAAACTCACGACTTCACACTAGTGTACTGTATCTAGGCTAGTCGCTCGATCGTCGGGACGATTTTTCGATCAGCTGCTCGCCAAAAATTAATTGACAGACTTGTCTTGAATATTAATGAGTTGGTTAGAAAATGCTACCAAGCTACTGAAAAAAGTGACCAGCCTCGTTTTCACCTGATTTTCCTGTCTCATCATATCATGTTTTGTTTTTGTAATTATCCTTACATCTCAACTTTTTGAATTTTTAAAGTATTTTTCCCGAACTCAGGAAAGGTTAAATAAGCAATATATGGCCACTTGTCTCATCCCCGCCCCGCCCCCCCCCCCCCCCTTTAAAGTAAGATAAAGTCTATTGAGATAGTTGCATTTCACTAGTAATCAGGATGAAAATTCTATCTTCACTTTAATTAATAGGTACTGGTATATGTAAAATAAATTTAGGAATAAAATGACATGGTTAATATCACTTGATTTTCATTACTGTTGCTACCTAGTATTCAATTTTAAACTATATTACTTAGAGCAGTCTTAAAGCGAACTCGGTCCCTTAATAGATGATCATTTTAATGGGTTTAAGTTTGAGCGCAATATTGCATGTATAAAATGGTTAATTGTTTTTGCCATAGCGAAAGTAGTTTTATAAATGTTTTAAGTATAAATAGTTGATACCAACTGTATTACCCGACACACTTGTAAACTACTTTATGTTTTACGTTTCAGAAATTCACGAAGATTATTTAACCGTTATTATAGGCACCAGTCAGGTAACTGCGACATCTTATCACAACTCAACACAGTCACAAGTACATTATTTCAGCAACTCCAACAAAATTACTCGTGCCCCCTTACCCAGTCTCCCCATAATTCACTTGCAAGTACCGTAGTTAAAAATCACCTAAAATTACCTTATTTGCAAGTTATTGCCCCTCAATTGACTATCGTGCACTTTCACCTTCGTGCCTCCCCACCTTAGCGCCCCCATCAGCACCCCCATAAGACATCTAGATACGCCATTGTTGTCATTATAATTATTATCATCATTATCGTCGTCGTCGTCATTATTATTATTATTATTATTATTATTATTATTATTATTAGTATCATCATTATCTTCATTACTATTATTAACATTAATATGAACATTATTATTATTATGACTAACATTATTATTATTATGAACATTAAGATATTTTATTAAGAATTAAGATAACTCATTGTCTTTAAATTGAGGTTTGGCCATAAGCTTGAGCGATACATTTTGATGGAAACTCTTGTAACAGGAGTGCACTGTACTTGCTTTGAACAGTACGTGAAACGTCTACTTATAGTCTTCCCCTTTATAAAGAACTATACTGACGCAATATCATCATTATCTTTTAATTCGTCTGCAAGTATTATTTTACATATTATTCTTTTTTTTTAATTGTTACAGGATTCCTTGAGCTCTCTGTATTCTATTTTTAGGGGGAGATACAAAATGATTCATTTGGACCTTTTTTTTTCATCATGAATGATTGTCACATAGCATGTTTCTCACAAATGTTTTCCTCACGGAAGTCTAGAAGACTTTTTTCCAGTGGTGTCCTTCTGGTAGTGGTTGGGCGGTATACTGGGAGACAATCCCCTTCTCTTTTTCTTAAGAGTGTACTGCTCTTTAACGTGCACATGGACCATAAATGCACACGGGACAGGAAAGATGGTGCGTTATTGTAACTTGCATTTTAGTCCTCCAGCTGAAACACAAGGAGAGGCACTGTATGGAAATTCCCTTGCAAGTAGTTAAAAATGAACTAAAATCACCTTATTTGCTAGTTAACGCCCCTCAACTGACCACCGAGCCCCACCTTTGCACACGCAGTGCTACCACATCAACTCGTGATCAATGATCAAACCATTCACATGCATTCTGTGTCTACGCCTCTCGGGGGTTAGACACTATACTATCGCCTAGCAGTTAACCCCCTGTAAGATCGATTAAATCTGGAATAAAGGATTGATGCGATAAGTCATGATTTAAAGATGAAAAAGAATATAAGACATGTCCTAATAAGTTTACCAAAAAGTCACTACAGTATAAACAACAGCACACATTTCTTGATAAACGAATTCCCATGTGAATACTTTATTAGTGAAATTAATACCTGTACAGTAAGGTCCTATTTCTCTCATTTCATAAAAAGTAATTATCACATTAAATATTGAATATCATATATAAAAATATATTAAATATAAAATGTAATAAATATCAAAAGGACATTGACATTCAACCTTATTTCAATAATAATTTTTTTTCTAAAATATTGCGTCTAACTAGACTGATCCCGCTGCTGACACCAATGTAGCGTTCCACCTAAGGACGACGTCTATCAGGATATTTCGAGCTGGGGTTCACGGAAAGTGTATCTCTCCGATTTGATGTTAAGCTCAGCTGAACAAACATACATGTACAACACGTTTTCTAAATTCCTGGCTACTGCCACTTTATTAGCACCACTTTGCCACGGGTAACTTACCCTTCATCCTAGGCTTACTATGTACTACCGAAAATAAATGTGGAATGACAGGTATTCAACTGTGCCGTAAGAACGTCCTATCGTCACGGGCTCATCGAATCTCTCCCGGTCAATACCTTCCCTAAAATTAGTGACTTCGTGACGAAGGCGTAATTACCCAATCAGAACATTCCGCCAATCATAGAACGATTATAAGGCTCTTCCGAGCATTGACATAACCCCCCTGGCTCATAGCTATTCCATCAGCCTAGCAATTTCGCTACATGACTCCCCCCTTAAATCGGTTCGTCCCTTGAACACGATTACAAAATTTCCTAGTACTTTATGCATTCCATCCTTCATTAAAACATAGCGAAATTAACTTTAACTTTTAAAACAACATAATCATTTTTATTTAACAGAAATCTGTAACATAATAACAACATTCCTTTGATTACTCGAAATCTCTCAGCATGCAATAAATTTTCCTCAAACGTTATCATTATTATCCTCATTTAGAATCATTGTAGAAGTGTCCATTATAAAATCATTTACAGTAGTGTTCATTGTACAATCATCCTCGATAATGTTCATCACAAAATCATTTATTAGATTGTTCAAATATTATAAGTAAGTTTGATGCGGTCAACTCGGACAACTACTCCATCTCTATAGTGAGTGCTCTCCACCTCTTCTATGACGCTGATCAGGCGTTCCACCACGCTACTGGCCATTGTCCACGGTGCAGGGGTGCCTTTTTCCTTGGCCGTGAGTAAACCTCGTTGCTCTTCTGTCAGGTAGGAAGGCTTCCCTCCGCTAACTCGACGGAGTTTCGGAGGTGGCGGATAAACGGTTTCCTCTATCAGCGATCGGGAACCCGGGGACAAGTCAATTCGAACTTCCATCGGCTCCATTGGCGAGGGTTGTTTAGCACCTCGGCTCCAACTCCTTTTCTCACGATGATTCCTTCTCACATGGCCCCGCAATTTGTCTCGGGTGGAGAACGTTTCATGACAACTTGTGCACTCATATAGCCTATCTGTATCCGTTCGGGTGACAGGGCGAACTGCCTCTCTTTGGCTGGTACTTTGGTCTGTAAAACAGAAAAAAAAAACTTGTTATCAGAACTGGCAATGATTTGTTTGACCGGTTTGGTAAAACATCTCCGGTACCTCGCCGGACGTCGCCGTTCCCTCCTCGGACACCGGTTCCTGGGAGAAGTTACACTGTCGGGTCCTTCCGCAACCGGGTCGGGTACTTCAGGTTCAGGTAATTCACGTATTTCGGGTTCTTGCGCCTAGCCAGTTACTGGATTTCCCTCGTACGGTTTCAGTTGATCACAGTGGACCACACGCCTTGCTCCTCGAGGACTTAACTGAATCCGGAAAGTGACCTCTGTCAACTTATCGATGATTAGGTAAGGCCCTTTCCATCTGCACTCTAGTTTAGGGGACATCCCCTTACGCTTGGTTTGGTCATACGTCCACACAAACTTTCCAGGTACAAGATTTGGCTCTTCGGAAAGTTTATCGTACCCCTTCTTTTGTCTGCGAGCACTGATCTTCAGTACATCTCGGGCACGGGCACCTGCTTTTTGCAACTGGGATCTGACTCTGGTAGCTAAATCTGGTTCGTCTGGCATGGTTTGCGGCACTTCCACTGACAAATCTATCGGGGTACGCACCTCCGTTCCTAACATAAGCATATTAGGAGATTCACCAGTAGACTCTTGGGGTGTTGATCGGTACACGAAGGTCGCATACGGAAGTCGCTCGTCCAAATCTCGTTGATGGTGGACCGGGTCCAACATCATGGCCACCATGTTTATCAGTGTCCGATTAAACCTCTCAACCATACCGTCTGACTTAGGATTATATGGCGTCGTACGGGTTTTCTTTATGCCTAACATACGGCAGGCCTCTGCTAACACTTTAGACTCAAAGTTCCGTCCTTGATCTGTATGTAGTTGTGCTAGAACGCCGAACCTCAAAACAAATTTCTCTACAAAGGATTTGGTGACCGTATCGGCTGTTTGATCGGGAATAGGATACGCTTCCGTCCACCTCGTTAGGTAGTCACCCACTACCAACACGTACTTAATGGCCTGGGAAGTCCATGGCCACTCGTTCCACAGGTTCTGACACGGACCAATGTTGCAAAGGAGCCCTACGCTTCTTCGGAGGTGACTTTTTGCGGGCACATTGGTCACAACAACGTATCCAGGCTCGTACAGAAAGGTTAATCTGGGGCCAGTATAACCTCTGCTTTACTCGTGCAAGGGTCTTTCGGACCCCCAAGTGCCCACTCGTCCTTCAACCGTGCAACTCTCGTAAAACATCAGGTCTTAAATCTTTCGGAAGCACTGGTTTCCACCTAATCTCGTCCCCCTCATCCGACTCCCATCGTCTGGCCAATGCTCCTTCCCGTATCTCCAGAACTTCCCAGAGTGTCCAGTAGGCACGTTCCTCTGGAGCTACCGTACATCTTCCAAGTTGTGACAGGGATTGCCCGCTTCCTTGGGGGTGAGGACCCAGTTTATGGACGGATCTTCTAGTTGCTGGGCACGTAGGTTTTCAAGTGATAATTCTGGTTCAATTCTAGTCAGTGGTACTTGAGGTTCGACATGTGACTCTCCGGGTTCAATCTGAACTGGTTCCTTCTCCACTCCCCCCTTGACTCGTCCACACTGCTTGCAAGGTCGCCTAGAAAGTCCATCTGCATTCCCATGTTTGGTTCCCGGGCGGTGTTGTATCTCAATATTGTATTCACAAATTACCTCGAACCAACGGGTCAGTTGTCATTCTGGGTTCTTAAATTTTTTTAACCATTTTAGAGAAGCATGGTCCGTCCTAACCGTAATCTCCCGTCCGTACAGGTATTGACGAAAGTGTCGAAGGTAGACAACTACGGCCAGTAGTTCTCGCCTTGTCACGCAATAGTTGCGCTCAGCCTTTCCCAACTTTCGGCTCGCGTATGCAATGACTCGTTCTTGGTCTCCTTGCACCTGGGATAACACACCCCCTATGCCGACATCGCTGGCGTCCGTATCTAAAATGAATTTCCCTTTTGGAAGAGGGTAAGCCAGGATAGGTGATTTTAATAGTTTGTTTCAGGTTCAAAAAGGCTCGTTCCTGCTGTTCTCCCCAGTCGTAAGGTCGGGCCTTCTCAGTCAGCTGGTACAATGGCTTGGCTACACTGGAAAATCCTTCAATGAACCGGCGATAATATGAGGCTAGCCCAAGAAAACTTCTAATGTCACCTACGTTGTGGTCTCGGCCAATCCCGTACGGCAGCGATCTTTGAAGGGTCGGTTCTAATGCCCTCTCTTGAAACCACATGGCCTAGGTACAATACGGAACAACGAACATTTTGCTGGCTCTAATTTTAAACCTGCGTTTCCTAGGCGTTCGAGAACAGTGTCTAATCGGTCAATAGCCTTTGGCACACTCTTTCCATACACGATAATATCGTCCAGGTACACGAGAAGAGTCTCCCATTGTAGACCCGCAAGCACACGTTCCATAAGGCGCTCAAAAGTAGACGGAGCATTACACAACCCAAAGGGCATAACTTTCCAACTGTAATGCCCCCTCTCACGACAAAAGCAGACTTCTGTTGCGCCTCCTGGTCCAACTCCACCTGCCAATTTGAATAACCAGATGCCAGGTCCAAAGCCGGAAAAAAGTAGCTCCCGCCAGGGCGTCTAAAGAGCCGTCGATACGTGGTATCGGTACGCATCTTTTATGGTAGCTGCATTTAGTTTCCGGTAATCGACGCAAAACCTTCGGGTACCGTAATTTTTTCGCGACCAACACAATGTTGGCCCGGTTCAGCAGGTTCTGTACATCGTTCTGAATGCCTGGTAACGTACTGGATATCTTCGGGGCGCTTCTCTGATCGGCGCTACGTTTCCCGTCTGCATTGTTTGTTTAATTAAGCCGGTTCGGCCGATGTCATAGTCTCCGGCTGAGAACATGTTCTGGTGTTTATAGAGAAGTTGTGCCGCTCTGTCTGCATATTCATTTCCAACATTATCGACACTACTCTGGTACAAGTCTGACAAGCGATCTGGAATCTTGATTCCATATTCCTTACTACAGTTCGACTGGTCAAGTTCTTCTCGTACCTCGCTTACAGGGGCCAAGACTCCCACTTTGGTGTCTGCTTTCAGTGAACGTATTATTGGTCCCGGATTGTAAAACCTGAACGGGACTTGGGCAGCTTCTTGGCCTGGTTCGATGTCAACTGCTTGGCATATTCTCACTTTTGGCGAGAATTCATCGCCTTCCTGGTTGGAGCACTTAATTCGCTCGTGTCCTACTCGTAACTCTAGCGTACTAAAATCGATAACTCCTCCGGAATCTAAGAGAAAATCCATACCAAATTCACGGCGTACGGATGTTGGCCACGAGTACATTCAGGTTACGGGTCCGTTGACCAACTCGTGCTTCAAAATGGGCCTGGCCAAGTTCTTTCAACATTCCCCCGTCCACCTGGTGAATACCCAAATTGTAGGCTAGCAAAGGAGGCCTTTTTTCCGCTGGTATTTGGTAGTATACTGAAGCAGACAATATCGTGTCCTTAGCACCAGTATCCACCAATAAGTTAATCACTAATCCGTTTACGCTAACCTTCACGTACAACCCCTCCTTAGGGCCGGCTGCCTCTAAACACTGGTAAACAGGTTTACGCCGCCTTCTCTTTCTCTGGTTTCAGTTTCGGTTTTGCCCTTTTTTTCTCACAACCTTCCCCCGGGCTACTGGGTGGGTTGTTCCCTGTTTTTCCCGGAACTCGGGATGGATCTTGGTTCCTTCGGGTCTTACAATCACGTGCAAAATATCCAATTTCTCCGCAACGGTAGCAGCCGTTATCGGGACCTCGTCCTCTCAGGTTCCGTCTCCCTGGAGGGGGTCTAGCCCCGCTCTTATCGTGCATGGACATTAGAGCTGCTAATCGTTCAGTCAGCTGCTTCACGGCTCCTTCTAATTTAGAGAGACGTGCTGCACTTTCATCTTCCTGCAGTGTTCGTACGTATTTTGTGGGTTTAAGAGGCGACGACCTTCCAAATTTTGGAAGCCCTCCACGTTCAAAGCTGCGGCTAAAGCCTCGTCCAATGTCTTGGGACAGGAGCGGATGATAAGCGAAAAGATTACGTTTGATAGAAACAATAAATGAACAAAAAAAATACACCAGAAAATCGTATTATTTGTTTTCCTTTCTTTGTTTATTGTGCCTCTTTACTTTTTGACATAAACTAAGAAGAAGTGGAACGTCTCGGATATTTGATATTTAAAAGTAGGTTGACCGGTAAGCGTCCGAAAGGGACGCGGTCGTCGGCGAACATGCAGCACGTAGACTTGAGGCGTTCGTCCGCCCGCTCGTACAGCGTGTTTTGATCGCAAAGTTTGAGCTTGCAATCTCGCCAGCGAAATTTCCACGACGCAGGTTCCGATCTCACGGTCACGATCCTGTTCATCGTCCTCAGCTTCCGGTCGTATATTCCGCAGGAACGTCGGAAGGCTTGCACGAGCCGAGATTTCTTCTCGGTCAGGATGAACTCGTCGGCCCTAGCACCGCCGGCCCAATCTCTTATCACCCTTCCCACGGACACAAGTCCCTTCCTTATGCGGGCGTTGTGCGTCGACAGCTCCACGTTGAAGATGCGGACGTGGGTTGCCGGAACATGAGCGATAAACAGCTGGTCGAAGCATTTCGCCGATGCAAGACCGACCTCGTGAGCGTGACTCCTGAACGCTGCGATCACGCGAATGCGGGCGTCCGCATCGTTACCGAGTCGGTTGACGATCGCGGATTCCATGAACGGGTACGGATCGTACCCGACCCTCTCGCCGGACGCGGCCGCCCGCACCGCCTTTCCCTTTCGTCTCGAAGTCCGGAACTCGGTGAGGCCACGACAGTCGGCCGTTGGATCTCAAGGTCCGCGATCGCTGGGCACAGGAGGATAGCCGATGCTGATCTTGCCGCTCCACAGGTCGGTACGCATGTAAACTGGCAGGGATTTTCCTCCGCGCTTGTCGTACGTCGGTCCTTGAACCAGCACCTTGTGATCCCGAACCGTGTCGTTGTACATCG